TGTATTCTTTAACTTGGTTAATCAAAATATTTTTTATTTATAATATCTATTTTTAGTGTTTTTCATGTAATCATGTGATTTAATGTAAGGGTTCATGCAGTGTTACTTTGAAACACTTCTGTGTTCATTTGGTTTCACTTTCTCTTCAAGGAATTATAACATCAATAATTGTATTTATTGGTGTTTACAGTATATGTAATATTTGTATGGTATTTAATGCATTTTTGCAGTTTAATGGATTTAATTAAGCACTTCTAATCAGAATGACACTTACGAGAGGCCTGGATTCGAGTCCCGGTTAATACGCAAGCTCTCCCCAAATTGTCCCTTGCTGATAATAAAGATAATAAATAATATGCATACTATATTAACATTTTTCTTAATTGTATATGCCACATAAGTTAAATATTAAATTAATATAAATTATAAAAGTAGCAATAACATTGACAAACCTGCATAGTTTAGAGCTACTGTAGCAAAAGTAACACCCGGGGGCAGTGTGACAAAGTGAGATTACTCAGTTAACCAAATACATAAAAATATAGTTTATTGTATTGTCTGTTGTGAGTGCAATTTATTTCAGGTTTACTTACTCATTCATTCTAAATCATTGGAATTATAAATCACTACAGCCTCTTCTGTATTCAGGGTTGTCTTATAGTGCCCTTACTGAGAATCATCTAATGAAGCCAGTGCCTCATTGGTATCACTGGCAAAAGTCTCTTGAGATGCATCATTGTGCTCCTGGAGATTGGGTATTTATATTTTGTCTGAATGCTAATTCAGTTTATAAATGAAAAGCAAAAAAATGAAAAGACAGCTTGTTCTTTCTTTTCTTCAGATCATTTATACACAATGGGAAGCTATCTTGGCTTCAGTGGGCTCAAATGCAAAACTCCTTTTATACAGTTCTCTCTATGCCTCACTCACTTGCCCTCTCTCTCTGGTTTGCTTAGTCTCTATGTCTCAAAAAAGTTTAATTAAGCATAGTTTATGGTATGAAGAAAATTGTAAATATTTTTGAAAGCTGGAAGTGAGATTTGAATGTCTGCTCCTGGAACCATGAAGACATGTAAATACTTCCTCCACCTCATCTCCACCTTTGTAGCTAACCCTTGGTAACTTCTCAATCCACAGGGAATCCTAGCATCCTTGTCAACATAAGGAGGGATACAGGAAGAGAGGGATGTAAATATGTGAGATGTCAACAAGTGAGATGTAAACACGTTTTTGGATTGGTTTCATAACATCATTAATCTTAAATGTTTGTTGTTTTTTAATGCCATTTTGAGGTGTAATGGGAAATGAATCTAATTGTCAATAAAATGACTGCTAGGCCAGTTAGAGAGAAACAAACCAAAAGCGCTTTGCTCCCTCCCACCTACTTGGTACTCTGTAAGAATGTTCAGTTCAATCCACAGAATGCATTGTGGATATCTGATGAATTTTAATTAAAAATATCTTCTTCTCAGTGTAATATCTGATGCAGTACATCCCAGTTACCAGTACATTCATGGTGATGCACAATAGTTTCACACAACAGTATGAAATGCTTCTGTGAGCTGGGCATCCATTAAGTCTCTGAAGTTCCTGTGCTCTAATTTTTGCTTTAAAAAATGTTTGGTTGGATAATAAACAGTATATAGTCTAACAATGTAACTTAAAATATGTAAGACAAATTATGCCATTAATAAATAAAAATGTATATTTGATTTATTTAAATCCATAAACATTTATGAATATTATCATTTCTTTGTCCGTTTTCCACCAGTCGATTATTTCATTAACCAATGCACCAATCAAGCTCCCAAGGCACTCTCCATACCCAGTAAACACAGGTCCAACCTTAACCAAGGAGAAAATCAGGTGCTCCAATCTCTCTGCAACAGGGATGATATTGTCATCAAACCAGCAGACAAAGGAGGCGCTGTTGGTCCTCACACTAAACGCATTCTCTTTCAATAATCTTTTTTACCAACAGGTGAGTGGAGTTGGCATGGGCACCAGAATGGGACCCAGCTATGCCAATATTTTTGTCGGCTGGGTAGAAGAACGGTTCTTTGCTTCCTACACTGGCTATGTCCCTGACCTCTACAAGCGATATATTGATGACTGCGTCGGTGCCGCCACATGCTCCAACGATCAGCTTGAGTGCTTCCTGCACCATTTCACCAACTTCCACCCGTCCCTCAAATATACGGTTAACATATCTTCCACTGCTCTTCCGTTTCCAAGACATTAACTTCTCCATCAACTACCCCCGACTCTCCACTTCGGTTTATTACAAACCCACGGATTCACACAGCTATCTCACACAGCTATAGCTCATTTCACCCCAAACACACTAAAAACTCTCTCCCTTTTTCACAGTTCTTTCTGCTATGACGATTATGCAGCGACGACATCGACTTCGAGAACCAAGCCCTCAAAATGTACTCCTTTTTCATCAACAGAGGATACCCCAGCAGTGTTATTGACAAGGCCCTTGCCCGAGCCAAAAACACCCCTCAGACCATCAACCCAATCAGGAACTCCCACCGTAACAACCGCATTCCTTTGGTGCTTCCCTACCACCCCAACACACTTCCTATCCCCAGGACTATTAACAACAACTTTTCCATCCTACAGGATGATCCCTCCATTGGGGCCCTCTTTTCTGCCCGCTCCATCATCTCATATCGCCGAGCACCTAATCTACACAACCTTCTTGTTCACAGCTCCCTTGACCGCCCTCAGCAACCATCCACACCAGGCACTTTCCCTTGCAACAGAGCTCGCTGTTTCACCTGCAAGTATACATCCAACACCACACTCATTAAAGGCCCCTCAGGACAATTCCGCATCACCCAGAGGGCATCTTGTACCTCCAGCAACCTTATTTACTGTATCTCTTGCAGTAAATGCCCAGCCATCTTCATTGGAGAAACAGGAAGGAGACTCGGAGACTGCTTCAGAGAACATGTCAGGGCTGTGAAGATTAAAGATCTCTCCAAGCCTATTGTTTCTCATTTCACCTCTGACGACCACGACCACTCTAATCTCTCCGTCTGTGTTCTCAAAGACGGTTTTCTGAACTCATACATCAGAAAGACTACCGAAACCAAACATATCCTGCAGCTAGGATCACACATTCATCAAAAGTTTTCTGTCACGGACGTCCAAAGGGACCAACCGTGGGGAGCAGGAGAGCGGAAAAAGACCCATATGCGTAGCGGCGAGACGGGAAAAAGGCCCGGGCTCATTGTGCAAAGAGTTCAGGAATGCCGTATAGAAACCTATGCCCTCAGGGAGCGGACGTGGGGCGCCCTGGTGCTAGGCGGGTCTCAGGACATCCGAACCTCAATGCTGAGCGAGGACAAAGTGCAAGACCCGGAAATATATAGCCCAAGGGAAAGAGAGGGACAGGAAGGACAGCAGACCGGAAACTAGGGACAGGACAGAGAAGGAGCGCCCTCTGGCTGCAGAGGGCGTGACATTTTCATTCATCTCAACTTTTAATGACCTAAATAAGCCTGTTCTTTACCATATTTACCACTTCTTATTGACCAGTTTATCCACTTCTTTAAATTCTTTGGGGGCTCCTGCTTTAAAAAGATGCTCTGAAACTAGGTTTGGACAGCCAGGTTTCTGCCAGGGAATTTCAAAGGTTATACTGTATGTGGTAAATGCCACATGATGTACTGAAGAAATGTTGTATTGATTTTAATCAAAATCTTAAATATGTTTTCTCTAATAATAATAAAATCTAATTAATTGTATGTATCATATATTTATATTTTTATTAATTTTATACATCACAGTCTGTTAGATATTCACTTTACGTTCACGATCTCTTAAGCCCATAGTGGCTGCCCAGCACAGAAATGTTTCAAACTATTGCATGAGCATTTGTATTGAGGACATATCAGATATTAAACTGAGTATATTACACTGAGGAAGAAGGGCAGGTGGTGGTAACTTCACCCCCGGACAGGCTGAGAAAGGAAACTACAGGTGATATTAAGTGTCTAGAGTATGCCCTGCAACTGGTTCATTTGGTTATCATCAGCCATTCACACTTCTTTGTGTTTGTATCATTTCAAGTAGCTTTATTGGCATAACATACTGTAAATACAGTATTTGTTGAACAGTAATTCTCACAGTATTAACCTCTGTACTGTATGCTGTGTGTTCCCACAAAGGTATTGATATATTGTGTCTCAAAAATAAATAGGCATATTAATAAAGATAAAGTCAAGGTTCTGAAAAATTCACAGATCATCCTCAAGGGTATAAACTACAGCAGCATCCTGGTTCCTCAAGGAAGAAATAAAAAAATAAAACTTTTGTTCTCCTAATGAGGACTTTTTAAATGCTTTGATTGCAATTAACAACACAGTGCTCAATAAGAGAATGCTAAAATGAACCTTCAAATGTTTTCATTTATATTGCCGTAAACGAATATTCAGACATTGTAGAAGTGGTGTTCTATGAATCTTTACAGTCTCAGTAATCTAAACAAAGCACGCCTTAGGCAAACCCTCACTGAACTTACAGTACATGCAGGTACAAAATTGGGTTAATAATTTCAGAGACTCCTACACTTTAGATTGTGCAAACTTGTATCAGCTAAAATCAACTTATCGGTATGCGAACATAATTCTTTGAATGTCATTCAAATCACTACTGACCTCTTTTTTGTTTTTTTTATATTTGCTATGATTTTAAAGCCACTATGTATAATATATTCTTAACAATTAAAATCTAAAATAAACTAATCCGTTTTCTAATTACTGTTTATACATAATTACTAAAAATTCTGTATGTAATTAAGAAAGTGAAAAAAGTGTTACTATATAGTATGATTAGATCAAGAAAGCTGTTATGGGTTAATAAACATTTATTAATAATTCTGAATTCTGAACTTCTCAAAATCTTCACTTAAATTTTAATTTTAAATCTTCACTTTGTTGTTCTAAAGGTATTATTAGGACATTATTAGGACATTAGGAGTCCAGAAAGATTAGCTTAGTATATCTGTATATTCTAAGGCCACAACTTTCTTTCAACCTCTGGAGCACAAGCAAGACCTGTGAATTTTACCTTTCCCCAGATCCAAAGCACCAGCAATTCAACCTATTCTTTCAGGACTTAAACATAATGGATATTTCTCAGCATGGAAAATTAAATTTGGGGGCAGATGAATGTGTTTTTTAAGAGAGGGAGGATTTATTTTGTTTTAGTACAGTACCCACAAGGCTGGTTTGTGTCAAATGCATTGTCTGATTTAGAGAATTTTACATTAGTTGTAGAGAGCATACTGTCCTCTGGAGGATCTTTTAAAGTGCAGAAACCAGCATTACCTCGTTAAACTGCTGTGTCACTGATAGTTTGCAGGAAGGTGGATCCATTTCTGAGAGGATGATGGAGGGCAGTTTTAGACTGTAAAAGGCTTGGACTCAGGGACTCACAATCTTTGCAAATCATGTGTAAATAGTAGTTTATAAGTTTGTGTCAGTTTGTAATTAAGTGTTGTAAACATACTGTATATCCATGTTCTTTATATGTTTCTGACTTTTCAAGAATTCGCCATCTTACTGCATCAGGAAACAAGAAAACATTGTACTGTATCTACTTGGTTGGTTTTCATTTATTACTATAGGGTACATGTTAGCTGTTTATTTAAATTCATGACATTATATTTATTTCTACCTTTATACATCACCCTCACCCAGTTTATTTTATTACATCCCATGTCAATGTTTACTTTATAGTTTATATATACATTACTTTATAGTCCTTCAAATGTTCTACAAACATACAGTACATACTGTACCATATACTATTATTGCATAAACACTTTAAATAGGGTCTATTTAGTTTACAATTTATGTGCATGATCATGATAAATTAAAAATATGATGACAATTTGAAAATCAAGGATAATTTAAAGACATTGCACATTTTTTGTTTAAAGAAATAGTGTCTTTTCTGCATGGTCAACCAATTTAGCCAAAAGGCACTGTTTCTACAAAAACAACAGTGGCCTTTAGAGTATTAACATAACGAAAAAACTGTGGTTCATAATTGAGGTCCTTTTTTTATAGCAATAGATTTTTTACATTAATGTATTTGCAATCCCTCTTGAATTCTTTAGCTCATGTCCTTGACTTACAATGATAAGATTACAATTAATGGATACAGAAAATGATATCCTTTTACAAAATTCAAGTGTTGAATACTATGTTTCTGTTGAATAGGATTTGTGCACTAGATTCAAATATCACATTCAGATGTTCTTAAACCTATTTCACTAAAGGGCTTTTTAAGAAAATAATCAAGGCAGGTACTGTACGCAATCTAAGTTCTGCATTTGCTTCCATCATTTCAACTGTATTAACATCTCTGTCTTAATACTTCATTACATTAAGAAAACCAGCAGCATAACTTTTTTAGTATTTTATGACCCAAAGATAACTCACAAAATGTTTTAGATCATTTTTGAACATTAACCTCAAACTATTTTTTTGTTCTTTCCCTCCCTCACCTGCATACAGTATGGGCTACAAAACTTGATAATATGATTATACTTACTTATATACAGTATACACTATAATTATAATACAGACATTGGTAAACAGTATCTCATTATTGATAACTGCACAAACAAAAAAAAGACCAAAAAACATTTTTTACTTACAGTACTCAGATGTTCTAACAGATAGATGACATCTATGATGTCAGCAAGGATGAGGAGTCTTGTAACCGCAGCTAGTAGAGTACGAGCAGCTTGAACCACAGCCTCTCGTTTGGACAGACAACATGGATCATCTGTGAACTCTTTAGCTGTCCAAGTCAAGGAGTGACCTACAGGGAGAACAAGTTCGAAACTGAAAAAAGCACCCTTAAGAAGAAGAGACAGCGTTTGAAGGGACTGGAAGTGATTTTCTTAAAACAAGAAAGTACAGACTTGGGAGTAAAACCAAATAAAAAAGTATTCTTAGTCTTCCAATCTGAAGGATTTTACAGTTAAGTCTCAACAGATGCTGTGCTCTCTTCTCTGTCCACTGAGACTTGTTGTCCTGAATTTTACTCTTCATAGTGTTCCTTCATTGAACTGTGTAATCTCTTATGCATCAGCTAAATAGAATGAGTCATTCTAGCCACTAAACACCTTAAAGAAACTCAGACTTAAAATTTAAACTTGACCAGACTCAGATCTACTTTTAATTTGTCTACTTGTAACAGCACCAGACTCTGTGTACCATCACTTGTGTACTGTACCTTTGACATAATACGGAGACTGAAAGAAAAAAAACACTGCACATGATTTTAGTGTTGTCCATATTAACTATATTATTTTCAATCTTAGTGTCTAAGAATGTCATCATTTACTTGACTGTGTCATTGTTTGCAAACACATGTGCTAATATTTGTCCACAAGGCCGAACACATTCAATTTTAATCTTTTGCTAAGCACAAATCAAATACATGGAGCACATGGATCTTATTTCCATTGCATCAGGTGAACACTGACACCTAATGTGTGGCAGATAATACAACTTAATAATCAAAGAGTCACCATATGATTGTTGAGCATTGCATTCAATAGAAATTATTACTCTTATACTGCACCTCCAATATATTTTTTTAGTATGGACCTAACTCCTCAGCAACAATAAAATAGACATAAGGGGCAAAGGTGACAATAACAGGGTGTGTAAAATGTATCCCCCTTGATGCATAAACATATTGTAATTCAATAAGTAAATTCAAGAAGTATCAAACATCATAATAATTGTAGATACACTTGCTTTGTGAGAGAGGTTTTGAAAATGGGAAAGGTCGATATTGGCAGCCTCATACCATACCTGTTGTAGTTAATTTTGATTTATAACCATCCCACCCACCACTGCCAACTACCATGTTATAGTATATTGCACTGCCACATCTATAACTGCTTCAGTGATCATTTAGAACATTTTTCTTGGAAATCTTAATAAGTACTGTTTGGCAATAGTTTAGCCAAAGAATGTATCAAGCTATAATCAAAATAATTTGCATTGATATTCTTATGTATCTCTTGTTCGAAAGATGAGCTCATAAAGAAAAATCTACAAAATATACAGGTACTGTATACCAGTCAGTCAGGTATTAACAGCAATCCTTTTTAGGTTAATGTGGTCCTAAAACTAAGGGATATTTTTTTATCTTTTTTAAACAGTTTTCTTCATGATTATGTCATTACCCCTGTACAAATAATGTCATCTCTTAGGAATCACTGCAAATTCATCCTCTGTTATGTAACAGGTTAAACTCATGCTATAAAACCAAAACAACGAGAATGGTCAGGAAAATGTCTGGGTGTGAGTAAAAGTTTTTCCAGTCCAGTGTCTTTCCACTTAATGTTTTAAAAAGAAAACACATTATTTTATTAATGATGATGTTTCTTTTCAGAAATTCAGATTTTTCATAAATGATTTCATGATACAGGAATTCATCAATACTCTAGTAAAGAAATTAGATATAGAAATAATTAAAATGAAAATGTAAAAGAACATTTAAAAACCATTATAGTTTGAAATCCTAATTGGTTTCAACTATATCATTTCCTGCACTATTCTAAAAAGGTTCTGTCTGACTTGAAACCTGTTTTTGCTGAATTACTTTATACTCTGTATTTTAATTGCAGACAGGACATACACAGATCTAAATTAAAAATACCATGGCAGTTTCAGAAATGCATTCCACAAAGCTCCAAAGACTAAGCTCCTGGGACATACAGTAAAAGGACACCTTTTATGCACATACAGTAAATAAACAGGTAGGCAAATCGACAGATACAGTACAAACACTCACAAACGCTGGATGCAGAAAGGGTCTTTAAAAGGAAACTTTTAGAGGATAATAGCCAGGTTGGGATTTAAGTCTTACAACACCATAAGCAGCATATTGCAACCTGGGAATTTCCGTACTCTATGCATGATCTATAGTAGCTAAAAGGGTTTTGACAAAATAGGTATGCTTATTTCTTGCTTTTGTCCCCTGAGGAATAGCATGTTAGAAAAACTCAGAATCAGCCATTGCAGAAACTAAGGTCACATTTCTGATTGCTTTAAGCAGTATTCTGTTCGAGATACCATGGCCAGTAACCACAAATGCATTTTCAGGCAGCCTGATTCACAAGGTCTAACTTGAAAATTCACCAGACTGGGAAAATGTGGTCTAGGATCTTGTATGGAATGCAGCACAAGTGCATTGCACCACAAAGAAGAATGCAAACAAGTAAATATTGGTGTGTGACATGAAGGGGGGATTCCAAGATCCAAGTGGCTAAAGAATTGTTAACACTGAAATTAAATCAGCCATCTTAAATGATAAACAGAAAAAATAAAAAAATACAAAAACAAGCATACAGAAACAGGGGAATAAAAGAGGGTAGAGAAGGAATAAAAAAACAGTATAACAGGTATAAACACATGAATACAGTACACTTCTCTGTAAACTGATGGTCCTCATAGCACTATTATTGTATGTTAATTGTCAAGTGTGATGGTGTACTGTTTTGCCTTTACTTTCTCTTTTGTTTTCTGTTGCTCTGTTTTAGGTCTGGTCCACACCCCTGCCTCTATAGCAATTAATGAGCCTGGAGGCAAAGATAGTGTAATTCCATTCATAAAGATTGCTTCCCACTGTGTTGATTTCATTAGGACAGCGAGAGAACCTTAAAAAGAAAGAAGCAGTCACAGAAAGAACAGGGAAACAGCTGCACAACAAGCAGACAGCTATCTTTGCACAGACTGTGCAGGTCTTAGAGCAAGCTCCCTTCTTTTTGCTTTTCCTGGGTCAAGCTTCTTTTGCTTAATGGATTTCAGGTGAGTGGAACAAGAAGACGAAAATATGTTTTTGTGGACTGGTTTGGGCTTTATAAGGAGTAAGGCTGAGTTAATGTTAAAGAATGTTTTTTGTGCTCACTCTCTGCAAAGTGCTCCTTGTGTAACCCAAGTAAGGCTGCCTTCCCTGCAAATCTGAGCTGTTTGTTCTCTTTTGTCTATATTTTAGCTCACCAGTATGTGTTTTTCCAGTGGATTTTATTGTACGTCTGGTGGACTATTATCCATCTCACTCATATCGAAAAACATTTTTGCTGTAAGTTAAGAGATGCTATTTGTACATCTGTTAGGTTTCAGCGTTATTTACAAATTCTCTGTAAATACATTTACAGCACTGTTGAAAATAAACCTTGTGGCTTTGAATGCTTTGTCTTCTTTCTGTCACTGAGACCAAAGTCACTTGCACTATTAAAGAATCTTGATTTGGGAACCCCAAGACTACAGAATTGAGTGATCCTAGTCCTCTGTAATACTAGATGATATAAGCAAAATATTTTAATCTAAAGCTATAGTGTAACTGCTACAATTATTGTAATGGCACTATTTCTAGAAATACTGATTTCCTGATGTTCACCAGGAAGCCATAACACCATTTCTGTAATGGTTAGTAATGCTTGATTTTAATAGAAAAATATGTTCACATTTATTTTGCATCCATTTTAGAGAAAGATTTAGGCTCTGAGTAGAATGTTTTTCGTAACACATATTTTAGGTTCCCTCTTTTTCCCTTATGCAGTATTTGTGCCTCAGGTGCCAGGTAGAGTTCTACAGTATGTTTCCATGTCTATTGAAGTTAGGCCTTTGATTCTTATAGATCAGTAAATATCTGTACAGAGTAGCAAAAGTGTATGTGTTGAGTATTTGTAATTTACTTTAAAATGTTTATTTTTAGTTTTGACATTTTCTGCTTAGTTATTATGTCATCACCACACTGAACAACAAAAAGTTGCAAATACATGTACAATTGTCTAATCATGTATTGCAAAATAGTTATTTGGTATTATTAAAGGAACACCCTCTAGGGACATGGTGGTCATGAGCATACAAACTTTGCAACAAACTATGGGTATAAGTATTCATTAGCTCTGTAGCGGCAAGGCTTATTAATAAGAAAGAATTAAGTGTTTCTGAGCTTTCCCAAATTAGGCCTCATCTCTCTGTTCATCTCTGTGGTGCAGCCACAGAGAAACTATCCATGCAAGCTGATTTAAGGTTCCTTTGATAAAGGACAGCTCCCAAAGGGGGATGCACTTAGCTAAGCCTGGCTATCATGATCAATGGTCATCCATTGGCGCCTATCTGTCTAGGGAGT